GATTCACGCCCGAGCACATGCCCGCTTTCCACTCCTACTATCACTACCACTCCCACACCCAAAAGCCCAAGCCCCAAGCCCAAGCCAGGAGCGACCCGTTCCATTTACCCCATCCCATCCCCACTCTTTTTGCCCAATCCGCCCCCCTCCCCTTTTTCCCACTGTTGCTGGCCGGGTCCTGCCTGGGTGCTTCGACCGCTTGCCGTTGCTCCTGGTTGCTGGTTGCTGGTTGCTGGCTTCTGCTCTTGGTCTACGCTATCCACCCCTTCCCACCCCCCCCCCATTTCATCTGCACTGTACACTGTAAGGTACCTACCTCGTTTTCCTTCCCCTTCCCATCCATCCCATCCCCACCCCCTACCTACCTTCCTTGTCTCCTAGTCGCCCGTGCTTTTACTGGGTACCTACCTACCTTGCCGAACAAGACAAGCCCGTTCTCCTTCCTCTCCTCTCCTCTTCTTGGTCTGGTCTGATCTCCCTTTACCTTACCAACACTCGACTTCACATTGACACGACACCTTGTCCTGCCCTCTGTTGTCGTATCCTCTCGAATTCCATCCATTCGAATCGAATCGACTCGGCTCCGAGAACGCCCCTCTCTGTCGTCACGATCTCGACCAATTCTGCCTTTCGACGAGAAGAGCGATTCATTCCCCTGCCGCCGAGACCCATCACGCACTTCTCGCCCCCCCCCGGGACTCTTCGCCATCCACGTCGTACCTCTCTATTTTTTTCTTCTCTCTCACACTCACGGCAACGAACGTACACTTGACCTCGCCCTCACGCGAGTTCTCTCTCTTCCGCCTCGTCCTGCTGTCTTTGCCCTCCACTGCGACACCGCAAACGCCCTGCATTGTTTCGCGAGTAGTTGTCGCCAATCAGCACAATGGCTTCCAAGGTGCGTCTCCATTGCGTCTGCCTCAACGCAGCCATCCCGCTCGATGACACAACCGCATCGCTAGCTCTCCTCATCCCGGTCCAAGGTTCGCATCACTGACATGCTGTTGTGCACCGCAGTTTCTCAGAGAATACAAGCTGGTCGTAGTTGGTGGTGGCGGCGTCGGTAAATCTTGTTTGACTATCCAGTTGATCCAGAGCCACTTTGTCGACGAATATGACCCGACGATCGAAGGTTCGTTCAATTTACTCGGCCGCCGACGCTTCGCAATGGAGCTCTGTGGGGGAGCGAACCCTATCGTACTGACACGATGAACCACAGATTCCTTACCGCAAGCAGTGCGTCATCGATGAGGAGGTCGCGCTTCCTTGATGTTCTTTGACACGGGTGGGCAGGGAGGAATACTTTGCCATGCGGGAGCAGTATATGCGCACAGGCGAGGGGCTTTCTGCTGGGTTTACTCATCCCCTTCAGGCAGAGCTTGAGGAAATCACGACATTCCAGCAACAGATCCTGCGCGTGAAAGACAAGGACTACTTCCCCATGGTCGTTGTCGGCAACAAGTGCGATCTCGAAGGCGAGCGCGAAGTCACGAGGCAGGGTATGTGGCGTTGTCCGGACAAGACTCGGAGTTGTACTGACGAGGCGTTCAAACAGAGGGCGAGGCACTCGCCAAGTCGTTCGGCTGCAAGTTCATCGAGACATCGGCAAAGTCCCGGATCAATGTCGACAAGGCGTTTTACGACATTGTGCGCGAGATTCGACGATACAACCGCGAGATGCAGGGATACTCAACCGGCAGTGGTGGCAACTCTGGCACCAACGGGCCGCCGAAGCCCATGGATATGGACAATGGCGAACAGGAGGCAGGCTGCTGCGCGAAGTGCGTGCTAATGTAAGAGGGTCTCTGCCTCACCTCGAGGCCACGAAGAGGCCGAGTCGGAGCGCAGTGAGGGGGGCAAGGGAGGAGGGAAGTGGCGAAAGCGCCTGTGCCGAGGAGGGCCCCAGCAGAGGAGGCACGAAAGACGTGGAGCAAGAACGCTTTGTGGTGGATGTTCGGGCCGCTCGGGACTGCCCGCGCGGACCCTGTGCGATCCACCACGGCGGAACCCGAGATACCCTCTTGCCACGGTCGGTGTATGCTCGGGCGCGGTCACGGCAGACAGACGCAGTCGCAGTTGCAAGAAAATATCCGTTTCTTTCTGTTGCATGGGAAGGGGAGTCGGTTTCTGTTCTGACTTGACGCAGATGCGTGTTTGGGCTGGATGGTCTACGCGAGCTACTGGATACAGAGACGCTTTCGTCTTGCTTGGTTGCTTGCTTACTTGCTACATGGACCCGCAAGGGGCAGACGGGACGCAGACACAGACACGGACACGGATACGGACAAAGACATATTTTTTGGACGCAGACACATGACACGCCTGTGTGAGAGATCCCATCGTGGGCCAGGCAGGCAAAGCAAGGACGGGAAGAAGGGATGTTGGCGGGGAAGCGATAGCGTACCTAGACGGGCCATCCTGAGAGAGAGGGGAAGAGGGAGAAGCAGAGGGGGGGGGGAGAGAAAGCTTGACCATGTTGATTCTTTTCTTTTTCATTTCTTCTTCTTTGACGTCTGTTTTCTCTGGGTATGTGAGGTACCTGGCTGTTTTTTTTTTCATTTCTTCCATTCTCTTTTCTTCTTCGTGTTGTGTCCCTCCCTCCCACTCACTTATCACCCACCTTAGCTTCCTGTAATTCTTTTCTTTCTTTTCCACTTCCCCATACCAACCCCCCTCCTCTCGTTCCATTCTTGAAAGATGGCTATCCTCGGTGTTTGTAGTGGAAGTAATGGTGGTGTCGTCGTCGTCCAACAATAGTCAGTCTAGTCGGTCATTTATTAGTCAGGTCAGAAAACCCTCTTGTTTCTTTCTCTCTACTCTAGTGTTGATGTTTCGTGCTATCCCTTCGTCCGGTGTGTCCATCTTTCGACAGTTGCCGCGTGTCCATCCCTTGCGTCTTGCATGTGACCAGTCTCTCTGCTCTCTGCGCCCCCCTTTTCGCGGCACAGTTGTTGATCTTTTTTTTTTGCCCCCGTTCTTAGGTGGCGTGCCACGAGTCGTGTGTTTTTGGTGGCTGAGGAGTCATGTTCCACGAGGAGGGGGGCGTGTTCTCGTGCATGGGATTCGGTTCTTTGGGCATGGACTTTTCTGGATTTTCCAGAAAGGCGATGTGCTGGCAAAAGGGGGGTTGCGGACTTTTGCCACCAGCACCATGATGGGGCTTTTCCAGGCGTCTTTCGCTCTCTCTGTGTCTCTGTCTCTGTCTCTGTCACGCTTCTTTTCCGTTCCGGAAGATTGGGAAAGGACGATCATGGGTTCGTACAGAAGAAGCAACAGCAAGACTTCTGCGCGCGTGGGCTGAATGGTGATTTGCGGCTGTGGCGGCGGCGGCGGCAGAGAAGAACACTGTTCTTGTCTCAGGGGTATGACGTTGCCTTGCGTCGTGGGGCTTGCATGAACGGTGGTCAGCAACGGACGGTACCTGACAGGAACGTGCGACGAGGGGGCGCTCAAGGGGCGGGTTGGACGGAGCTGGGAAAGGGGAGGAAATGCATAATGTAGTCGCCACGGCGGGTGTTCAAGGGTGCCTTTCTGGGTCGACGCAACGACGACAACCGTTCCGCGTGAGGAAGGTGTTCGCGGCAGAGGATGAGTACATGCTCGGATTTATTCATCTCATGTGGCAAACCGCATTGCCCATGACTCGGAATGCCCGCAGCCGCCTGTCCCCTGTCCCGTGCGATGCCTTCGGTTTTCCCGCGACTGGTGAAGCAAGACACGCACCGCTACTGCTACTACAACAAAACCGCGGAACGAGAATCGATAGGACCTTCCACCTCTGCAGGTCTCACCTCGACGCTTTCCGCCGCTTCACCGCATCTATCGACCCGCATCCCGCCCCCCCCCCCCCAACCCCCCAAGCCGGCACCCTCGCCGCCGCCGGGGCCCCTCGTTGGCCCGAAACGCCGCTGTCCCGGGGCCGGCAGCCCAGCCCTCGAACCCCGGAAACAGCGTCGGCATGCGGCCCCCGTCCTCGACGACCCGCGCGCACACGCTGCAGTGGAACACGCTCGGTGTGTCGCGGCCCGGCATAGTGGCCGACGTGCCGCTGCCTCGGGCCTTGCAGAAGACGCACTGGTCCGGCGCAAAGTTGACGACCTGCCACTCGCGCACGAGGGCTGCCTGGATGACGGCGCGCGCGGCGAGGGCGGCGCGGTGGGCGGCGCAGAGCGGGCGCCCAAGGAGCTTGGTGCCGCAGAGGCAGCCCGTCAGCGGGTGCTGGGCGCCGCGGACGATGGTGGTCGTGTTGCTGCTGTCGGCGATGGCGCCGCCGCCGGTTGGTCTGGACCTCGGCGCTCGTGCAGTGGGAGCAGGCGTAGGTGCGCAGCGAGAGGATGTCGGCTCCCGTGAGGCGGTTCGGGCCGTGGAGCGCGGCGGTCGCGGAGCGCGTGTCGCAGGCTGGGCAGACGGGGCGGGGGCCGGCTGGGTCAAAGAGGTGGTGGCGGGATGCGCAGACGGCGTTCTGGTCAGGGCAGGGCGTTTGGCAGGTCTGCGTCGTGTCGCCGGGCCTCGTGGGCTCGCGGCAAGGAGGACAGGGGTTCTGGAGGTCTGGCGAGAAGACGTCTTGCTCGTCGGGAATGGCGGCGAGGAGAA